TTTCTGACAAACGTATTATTTTGAGTTGTGCCTCTTTTGAAGATGGTGTGCGATATGCTAAAAAAACAAGTACATTTATAAATTACCGGTAAGTAAAAACCATATTGAAGAAGAAACTAATGCCAACTGAACCGAAAAATAGGAATGTGGTTGCTAGCCGCCATACTTGTAGTTTCCAAAGAATAAGTGTAGGATTGAAATACAACTGCAACGGTGAAACTAGGTCTAAATGCTGCGAAGTAATAAAATGTTATTTGCCGTCATATAAAATGCTGATACGAGCTCACCACCGCCAGCGTTGTCAGAACACATGCTGTTGTATAGATGCGCGTCACTGTCGGTATCTCCATATAGAAACGCACAACCGATTGAAATGCCATGTTGACAGACTCCCTTTACCACTTTTCTCTCGAAGACACTCCCAACTTGTGCGCCGACATGTAATCTTGTCAAAGCTTCCAGAGGACACCAGTTGAACCTGTTGGCTTTTCTACGTTAATCTACGTATTTATTCGCAGAATATTTTTGTTTTCTGTACTATCCTGTTAATCAAATTTACGTAGTTGCAAAGGTCAAAGCTTGGCTTATTGCTCTAATCAAAAACATTGGACAGATCGCTTCCCCACATTAACTATCTGCTGCACTTTTGCCAGCGTTAGGAAGCCTCAAAGGATCCGTGATTATTTATCAATGTTATCAGTTTGTGACCCGTAATTTCTGGCAATATTTTTTTAGTGGCTGCCGCTTCACATTCAAAGCGTATTTGTAAAATTATTAGGCAAAGATAAAAAAAATCATTGGTCAAAAAGATTGAAAAACTAACATAACGTGGATCTTTTGCAATGTTTTTTTTGTTGCTGTCAAAATTGGCAGCTGATTTTGACAGCGAACAAGTTCCAAGGCAAGGCGAATTTATACAAGGTGGCAAGGCGAATTCGCCTTGTTTTGCACGTTATACCATGTTCCGACCGACAACGAAAACACTTTGAAAACGAGTTTTGGGATTCTGGGCTGAAAGCTGTTCACACCAGTTGTTAGTGTTTTCCTTGACATTTCTTACATCTTTTGATTGCTGTTTTGCTACACAAAAATAAAGCCGAAACACTTTTCCTCCGTTCTCTTCGTTGTTTACTTCTTACAACAAAGATGGCGTGAGAGATTTCGGCAGCTAGATAATAGCTTTTTTCTTTCTTTCCTTCCCGCGTGATCTTGTGTCTTTCGTTCATGCACGTTACCGAATATTTAGGGCGTGTTGCTCAAAGCCTGGTTGACACTAATCCCCGGTTAAACATCGTTATCGACGTTACCGACACCGTGTTATACCAGTTATATGCATGGAGTCGAAAAAGTCGATAACGATGTTAACCGGTGATTAGTGTCAACCAGGCTTTGAGCAACCGGCCCTTAGTTTGTTCCAGTATTCTTCGTGCAAAAACCTGTGCAACTGTCAAACTACAATGTAAAGGCTCTGTTATGCATACTTGGCATTGCTTGAGAGTTGTCACATGAGGAATCTGTTAAATGAGCTTCGCGTGTAAGCGGTTACCCAACGCACAGCATTACATACGTAAAAGTCTGTTGGTTTTTGATTTCTACGTAAAAATGGTATAGCAGTGCA